GCCAAGGCCAGACAACATCAGTTTGATGTCAATAGCTTGTTTTGGCGAGAAAAGAAGATTCTGGAAAAGGGAATGTCAAGGCTGCCAAAACTTGTTGATTTTCAGTACACCATAACTCTGCGTAATAACCCACTTCCTTCAAACAAGTAATGACTTAACTGTGTTACAACTGATGTACCACGCAGAGATGTCCCACTTTGACGTCCCACATGGAGATGTAGCACGTCGTGATGTCCAACGTGAAGATATCCTATACTGATGAACCACGTAGAGATGTCCCACTTTGACGTCCCACATGGAGATGTAGCACGTGGTTATGTCCCACGTGAAGATATCCTATATTGATGTACCACGCAGAGATGTCCCACTTTAACGTCCCACATGGAGATTTAGCACGCGTTATGTCCCACGTGAAGATATCCTATATTGATGTACCACGCAGAGATGTCCCACTTTAACGTCCCACATGGAGATTTAGCACGCGTGATGTCCCACGTGAAGATATCCTACATTGATGTACCACGAAGAGATGTCCCACTTTGACGTCCCACATGGAGATGTAGCACGTCGTGATGTCCGACGTGAAGATATCCTATACTGATGAACCACGTAGAGATGTCCCACTTTGACGTCCCACATGGAGATGTAGCACGTGGTTATGTCCCACGTGAAGATATCCTATATTGATTTACCACGTAGATATGTCCCACTTTCACGTCCTACAAAGAGATTTAGCAGGTAGAGATGTCCCACACTCTACAAAGATCGCTTAAATTGACAAATTAGTTAAAAGTTACAGTAGAATAATTCTTACCTTTCGTAATCAAAAACATCAATGGCCCTAGAGTTGGTTCGTGTGGTAGGGTTGACGTTATCCTCATCACTGAAGGGCCTCATCGGCTGATGCAGGAGCTGTACCGCACAGTTAGCACTGTTGTACGGCAAACCTCTAAACTTCTGCAGGGCTTGCCAGATGGCGAACTGACGGTCCACGTTGGAGTGGTGGAGCAGGAAGAGCGGGTCGTAGGCGGTGTACTCAAGAGTGGACATGCCATAGGGAGACTGACCACCAGTCCAGGAGTGGATAGCGTTGTGGGTTATCTCAAACTGAACCTGTTCAGAGTACGAGGTTTCATGAACACAAGAAGGCATTCACCCTAGTATGTTTATTTGCTATTGTTCTTCGCCAGGAGCTAAGGTGGTCTAGCAGCCAGATGCTCCCCTGCGGGTTTGAAGGTCATGGGTTCGGATCCTGACGTAGCACGATATTTTTCAAAAATGACCTTTGCTCCTTGGTCGATCCAACGTTGACTGGGTACCAGGTGAAGTCCGGGGAAGTAAAGAAGACCGGCTTGATGGTGACCGCATCACTAAGCACAAATCGATTGGTCTATAAAATATTGGTACAGCCCTATTTACCCAATACACATACAAGCGTGCAAAAGGTCATTTACCTACTTACATGTTCTTCATCATCCTGTGGTTGACCAAAAAATGCCGGATCATTCATATAGCGACTACAGTGGAACCAAACGGAGAAGTTGAATGGGTCTTATTGCAGCGATTTATATTTTAGAAACAACACTCCAGAAACGTATAAGCGATTTTTAACAATTAAACAGTTGATGTCACATTAGCAATTAATTTATATTGTATAACATAGTTTCTAATTATAAAAAAATCACATGTAATGTGTTTCAATTATATTTAAGTATATGGGACCCCTTCCCACTGAAAACTTTTCAAGGGGCTACGCGGCCCCTCGCCCCTACTCCGACTATACACATGTGGTCTCTTCAAATTACTGGTTTATCCATTTCATATTATTTTCAAAAAAATTATAACATTTTTTGCCACTGCGCACTTAAACAAGGCTTAACTCTCTTGGGCCTCCTTTCCAGTAGAAAAAATTATAAGGCGGCTCAGCCCTTCCCTAGGCCCCAACCCTTTCCCCAATTTCTGTCGTGGCACCCCCCCCCCCCCTCCAAAAAAAAATCATGTTCCCAGTGTCTGTTGTGTCGCCCCCCTCAACCCCTTCCCAGTTTATGTTGTGTGTTCTCTCTCTCTCTCTCTCTCTCTCTCTCTCTCTCTCTGTGTGTCTCTCTCTCTCTCCGTCTCCCCTTTTTCTTTCCGTAGTGATAAAAGACTCACCTCAAAGTTACAGTAATCAGTCTGCTCAAACGCCAGAAGCATCTGCCTGTAGAAGAACGACTCAGACCCAAACTCTGGATCGTTGAAGAGAGTGTCCCGCGGTGCTCTGGTGGTCATCTTCCCGTTGTGGGTGTTGCCATGGTGGAAGGGATTCGCCTCCTCCTCCGTGACAAAGGCTGGTAGAGCGGTGAATGACTTGGTCCAATCCCAGTATGGAATTCCGACTTTAGCTCCCTGAAATATATTTTAACTGTTAAACTCAGTGTGGTATTGACCAAAAGCCACATTTGTAATCATCATGATCAACATCATCAACATTATCTCTGAAAGGTCGTTATACATAGATCTCAGTTTGTTTTTCTATTTAGTCCTATCTTGTGCAATTGAGGGAATTGAGTGGTCTCGAGGCATGGTGTCCGCCTCCAGTGCTAGAGGTTCCTGGTTTAATCCCTGATAAGGGCTGGGATATTTTTTTTTCACGTGGACTTGGACTTCTAGTAATTCCCCATTGTCTCTGGGTAGTGATATCGGACGCCCGTGTGCGTTGTTGAGCACGAAAAAAGAATTCCTTGGCAGTTGGAAATCGAAAAGAGTAGCCTAACGGCGCTGCCCGGGCAAAATTTGGAGTTAAAATCTACGCAAAGTATTTCAGGATCCTCGCCGGTGTTAAAGAGCCTGTACACTTCGCTGAGCTTCGTACTTAGACTTGAGTTAGAAGAAGAACGGAGCTCTTATGGATTACTACCCGTGTGCCATGATGTTGATCCGTTGTTCAAACCTCAAACCTAATGAGATTGTTAAAATATAAGGGATGAAATCACGCCAAGCGCTTAAGGTCCTGATCTGAAGGACCTGAGAGTCTCTCTTTCAATGTTCTCTACCTTTTGGCGTGACCGGCGCGCTGGACGCTGCCGCTGGCATTGGCTAAGATTATACAATGTTTCTTAGCATTTATCAAACATACAGGTCGGCAGAATGTTCTGGTTGTTCGTCCACTTCTGGTCTTTAGTCTTGTTGAAGAACTTGACATTTTTAAAAATCTTGTTAAAAAGATTCGAAATCGTGAAACAAACGTTAGACAATTAGGCTTGCTTCCCATATTGGTCCCTGAGCCGGTTTGTGTGTGTGTGTGTGTGTGTGTGTGTGTGTGTGTGTGAGTGTGTGAGTGTGTGTGTGTGTGTGTGTGTGTGTGTGAAAAAGACACTGACTCCTTTAAGAAGAATGTCACAAAAGGTGATACAGCATGGGTTTGCAGAAACTGGATATTTTAGGTCTAGCTGTGAACCAAGCCTATCGTGTCAAACGCCACTTTAAAGGAGATAACAAGCAGAATCAGTGACCTTGGCTGTGAGGGCGTCCTCCCATTGCTTGAGGTAGAGGCGGTGCCACTGAGGGAAGTTGGCCTGCCCGTGGAGGCAACAAGCAACAGAATGTCCAGCGTGGGTGCATCTGGTAGTGGGTTCTCCATGGAAACTTGCAATATTCTGGGGGAATATAGTTTTGAGAATATCAGTTTTATTGATGAAATTTCCGGATATGTCAGTAGCTTTCGGTGATGAAAAGTTTTAACAATAGTACTAACTTGTCTACAGTATACATACATAATTAGGAGATCCAAATGTTGGGGATAACCAACCCTGCTGTATGCTGTAGAAACTTGGACAATGAACAAGCGACTAGAAAGTTGAGCTGTCTCTGGAAATGTGGATATACAGAAGAATAGGTCGTGTTTCAATGAAGAAAGAAAAAAAAAAGGGGGGGGGGGGGCAATATCAAATACAGAAGTTATGGAAAGACTGTACATGAATAGAGAGTTACTAAAAAAGAGACAAGAACTTGACAACGATAAAAGTGGGAGGACAACATGAACATGAAGAGATGGACGAATAGAAGTCTGAGAGAATGTACTACCAAGGCAAGAGGCAGCGAGTGTTAGAGATAGACTGTAGCTAAATTTCATTGTGAATACGGCTTCTGATTGATGTGTGTTATAAATTATAATGAAGACAAAAACAACAGTAACAGTCATTTTAGATGCTTTAAGGAGCGTCCCTCAATGCAAGGTTCTAGTCTAGTTTTGATCACCGCATCCTCTCTCGATGTCTGGTGTGGTTGATGTAATGTCACATTATCTGGACTTAAATGGGAATGCTTTGTGGTGTATTCACTATCCAATATTATTTTTTGGCGTGGGTGCCACTGTTTGAAAACCTCCACAGAGGAGAGGGCTTTGCTTAGAAATGTTCAAGATTCAGAGCTGTCAGAACTTGGTAATTAACCCTGCCAAAACTTACCCAGAAACTTTCCTATATATAGTGGGATGGGATTGGGGTTTGAGCTCCAATAGAAGACCTGTAACTCTCGCCAAACCACGTACAGACGATATTTAGTTTTTAAAGTACGTTTTTATATAATTCTTATACTAATTAAATTTAATTATGATTAAGCACTTTATTATCATCAGTGAGGCGAAATTAGCAAAGATTTACAAAACAAGCACTTAAATGGGAAACAAACGGTCTGAGAAAGAAAGAACGTCCTAGAGAAACATTTAGAAGAACTCTAAGATACTTAAAACACTCGGCTCAACTCCAGGTCAGAAATCGAGAAAGTTGCATGCAATAGAGCGGAGTGGGGTAATTAAATGCGAGCTCTATGTGGGCACACAAGGTATTATTTTTATTTTCATGATCATTATCAACTGAAAAGCGTTGAGTAAAGTTAGCTGCAAACCCCCCCCCCCCCCCCCCCTCTTCCCCCCTCATTATAAAGGGAATTTGTAAATGGGCTCATTGAAATCCCCACTGCAGTTGTTTCCCCTTATGTGCACACATCCGTCTAGAATCCCATAGCGTCACATAGTTCAAGCTCGAGTCACTTTAGGACCTTGAAGTGCTTGACAGCAATGCTTACCTGAAAGCCGTTAGGACCGAAATCTGCCTGGTTTTTTGCAAGTGCCATACGTAGGTTCTTAATCTCCGACTGCGACAATGTAGACACTTCTTTCCGAACACCAATCCCTCCAACGGTTGTAGACACTATGTTTTTTGTGGCCCCTAGTTACAATCACAGCAATATGGTTGTATTACAAATTCCTGGCCTCATTCCTACACTTCTTATTCATCTCCCATTTTTCTTACGCATCGTTTTATTTTCTTTCCCTCTTCCTCCTCCGCCTCCCAGTCTTTTTCTTATAATTCAATGTCTCACACACTTTTCCTCTTTCTACTGCTTTTTACACTTCTCACTGTTAGTGATTGCTGTGGCCATGTTAGTGCTAGTCTGAACATTGGTAGTTGTAGAAGTGGTGGTAGAAGTAGTAATCGTAAGGATAAACGGTAACAGTAGTGGTGTTGGTGGTGATAGTAGTAGCTGTAGTAGTAGCAGCAGCAGCAGCAGTAGTAGTAGTAGTAGTAGTAGTAGTAGTAGTAGTAGTAGTAGCAGCAGCAGCAGTAGCAGATGTGGTGATTGTGGTGATGGCGGCGGTGGTAGTAGTAATAGCACAGTAGTTGTAATAACAATAGGATGATACCAGTTAATCTCACATAATCAAATAGTATACCTTGAGGGGGCTCAAATATAATGACTGGCTCCTGGAAGACTTTTGTCTGTTTTAGAGCCTTGCCTTCCACATCAAACACATTTACATCCAATGTAAACTGGGCTTCTGCGTCCAGTGCGTCTTCAGCTGTGAGCCCCTGCTCCTCCAGAGCTTCTGTAATGTCCAGTTTAAACAGGCGGTCAAAGACCCAGTGTATCTCTGTAGGTCCACCAAGAATGTTGAAGCGACCTGCCGGATGGCATGTTTGATTGCGCTGCCAGATAAAAGAATGACCGCAAGTGTCAGATGTGAACACTAAAAATGTCTAAGCTTGAGCCTAATGATTGCAGCTGACTTTAACTTATGTACATTTAGAAAGGGTAAGTATCTCTAGTTTTACCATTACTTCCGTCGTACCCGAAAACACTTCTGCTAAACAACTGATATGAAACTGATAATAAAACTGTTTAAAGTTTAAATGTCGAGAGGACCGATTTCATTGCACTGTGTTTGCATTCTTTATGACCCAATGTCTTTTCACACACCTTCTGAGAGCGTAGCAATAAGCACGAACTCCATAACTCCATAGACGTTATCTGGGAATCTCCGCAAAATAACAACAGTCGTGAATGAAACAATTGACATGTAAAACTAAATATAAACAAATTACCTACTCTACCAGAGAGACAACTCCTCCTCCACTCTCAATCATTATTTTTTTTTAAAAAGTGGAAAACCAGGAATTTGCTTGTCAAAACGTATAAAAGAATGATTTCAGATCGATCTTCTTTCTTCTTCTATTCCACCGCTTATACCGTAGTACTTAACAAAGAGAGATGAGGTGTGTTTCCTGTCTTCTGCTAGTCGCATATTGCGATTCTGTAGGGTATAGTTTACTCTCTCCACCCACGTCTTTCTTGGTAAGGCTCTTGACCAGTATCCTGTTGTTCTCGTGTAGTACGCTCTAGTTGTTGGTTGGCTTTGTTCTATTCTGACCAGATGACCAACCATTTGATTCTTTGATGTTCTATGAAATTATTTACTGGTACTGTGCCTGCTATTGTTCTTAGTTCTTCATTGGTCATTCTTCTCTTCTTGTTTTCCCTCGCCGCTTTTCGTTTGCACTTCATCTCGCGTGTTCTGAGTTTGCGTTTACATTTGTCTAGGACAGTCCGTGTTAGCCATGGAATAAACAAATCTAAACTATACACAAAAGTGAACTGGAGACAAATGAAAAGTGTGGGAAGAACATAATAGAAGTTTATGGTGAATAAATAACAGAGAGAAGCACCTTTGGTCTTATATCTTTGTTTAAAAAAAAATTACTATGTAATTACATGTGTGCATGAAACGTCTCTCACCATGCAAATACGAAGTTCAATGGTGTATGAAGTCTTTATGCTCTTCAGTAAGAATCCAGCAAAGACTCGTCCTCTGCTCTGTTTGGCAGCGATGAGCTTCTCCAGCTCATCTAGGGTGTAACCCCCAATGTTCAGGTTGTCATACGCATAGCCAAGCTCTTTGTGGTCAAACAGGGAGTTTGGCACAGCATGATCTCTGGGCAAGAACACATCGGTCAAGGTAAGAATAAAGCCTAATTTTATGTCACAAGTCGTTTGGGCATATAATACTTCCTCCCGGAACTTTTAACAAATGCCTCCAGAAGTCTGATGTGTCTGCCAATGGGTGCAAATAACGCAGCCATTTTATAAACGGGCACAATACATTTACGTCTTGAATGAGCCCAGAACATACTTTACCCATATTTTAGACTAAAACACCTTTGATTGATGATGATGTCGGTATTATACTTGTAAGTAAAGGACCCTTATACACGCCTTTCATGCGTATTGTGTATATTGGGCTAGCCCTATATTTTATAGACCAAACGGCACTTGTTGGGTAATGTGGTCAGCATCACGCGGGCCGCCTTTACGTGCCAGGACTGCACCTGGTATCCACTCAAGGCTGGGTCGACTTGGAGTTAAGGTCACCATGTTTACCATGCTGACTCTTGATTGGCTACCGAGGAAAGAGACGGAGCACTTGTGAGAATGTCCCTAGTGTAGTGACGTCAATTTTTGATTTATTACTTCATCTTGACTATTTCATACGTCTGTTTCTTTACAAGAGTCCTTTACTTATCAATGAATATATACAACACACTGTTCTGGGGTAGCTTAATTCATTGAACACATTTATTGATCATGCTGAGAAAAAATGCAGACAGAAATGCTCGGTAAAGAGTGGCAAGCTTCGTTTCAGAACTCCGAGGTAGTAAGTGTAACTTGGATATTTTCTACAGGTAATGTCGGTGTTTGTGAAATGAACAAAAGGCTAGACTGGTTGTTTCTGCAAAATTTGCAGGTAAAGTGATGCATGAAGTTGTAAGGAACCTTTTGGAGTGAGTAAACAGAGCGGAGGCACAAATGATCATTCTGGTCCTAAAAATAATGGAGCCAAAAGGAGATCTGGTTGACGCTCAACGCTCACGAAAGGGGCGAGACGGACATACAATCTTACTATTTCTTGTATTATCCCGGGTGCTATAATGTGGGTTCTCAACTCACAACTGAACACAAACGAGACTAACAAATACAATGAGGGAAAAAAATATAAAGAAACATAGAAACAACAGTCTTTACATCTGTTGTTTAGAAGAAAAAAAAAAAAAAAACTAACAAACATGAGAGACACAAATTGGCTTGGACGTTAGGAGCTCTGTTATCAGTTGTCAAACGTCGCAAGCTAGTTTGGTTCGGGAAAGTGGCGAGACCTAAACCCTTACTAAGACTGTACTTCAGGGAACATTGTGGGGTTTGTTTGGGAGGGGGTGGGGAATTGGGGGAGGGGGGGGGGTAGGTAGTAGAAGAAAGGGAGGGAGGGGCGGGAGGAGACACAAAGAAGAACCTGGAATGAGAGCACACACAAAAAATGGTTAAGACTAAATTAATATACACTTGTTCAACACGTGGGAGACACAGAGAGATATCGGATTTTTTTTTTCTCCTGCTAGTGCTTCCGTCGACACAACTCCACGTTCCTAGCAGGTCAAGGGTTATGTTGTGTTATTACGCCTGTTCTAGGGTAGCACAATGCCGTCTCCTTGACTTGGTCATGCGTAGCTTAACTGGCTGAGCGCTTGTGTGCCTTCATGCAGATACTCGTAGCCTATGTTTTTCTATCAGACCTGATATCAATCTGGCTTTTGTCAACGGCTAAACAACGATATGCAGTTTAAAAAGAAAAGAGAAAATAAACACAATATTGAGCCTCTCTTGCTATTTCTTGATTGCTGGCACGATTATTGCTCCTCGAGCAAGGGCGAGGCAGAGATGGGCAAACGGATTGCGCCAGACAAAACCACTGACCTGACACGTGATTCTTGTGATCGTATGGGATGGTGAATGACAAACCCTTTTGCTTATAGGCCCGACAAATGATGACGATATTTAATTTTTATAATTATAACGATAATAATTGTAATTACTTCCAGTGTGGGTTCTGGGTACCCATTTCAAAGGGGGAAAGGACCCACTAACTACCAAACAAGCAAGTCGTAAAGGCGAGACTAATTAGAGATGTTTCCTTCGAAGTCGGAGTGCATCTACATGAGAGACAAGAAAACCAACAGTCTGCATACAAACAGGCGAAATATGTGAAACATAGATGCACGCAAAAGTCCAGTTCTGTAAGAAGACAAAAATCCAGACGTTGACGAACAACCAGAACGTCTCCCCATTCCCGGAGTTTACAGTCGGTGAACGCTAAGAAAAAGAAGAAGAAGCAGAAGAAAAAGAAGAAGAAGAAGAAGAAGAAGAAGAAGAAGAAGAAGAAGAAGAAGAAGAAGAAGAAGAAGAAGAAGAAAGAAGAAGAAGAAGAAGAAGAAGAAGAAGAAGAAGAAGAAGAAGAAGAAGAAGAAGAAGAAGAAGAAGAAGAAGAAGAAGAAGAAGAAGAAGAAGAAGAAGAAGAAGAAGAAGAAGAAAAAGAAGAAGAAGAAGAAGAAGAAGAAGAAGAAGAAGAAGAAGAAGAAGAAGAAGAAGAAGAAGAAGAAGAAGAAGAAGAAGAAGAAGAAGAAGAAGAAGAAGAAGAAGAAGAAGAAGAAGAAGAAGAAGAAGAAGAAGAAGAAGAAGAAGAAGAAGAAGAAGAAGAATACAAGTACAAACATTGTCTGTTTTGGTCATAGGTATGTTGACGGCAATGTGGAAGATGTAAGACATGCCTGGTAAACTTGTTTTGATTGAAACCTTCAAAGCTGAATGGTTTCATGGGTTTGGCCATGTAGTTGACGGCACAGTCGGCTCTGTTGTATGCCAGATGCCTCCTCTGCTGTAGCGTCTGCCAGATGACCCAGATCTTGTCTGTGAATGAGTGGTGGGTGAAGAAGATGGGATCGTAAGCGGAGTACTCCAAGGAGGACAAGGAGTATGTTTGATGTCCTCCAACAAGGAAGTGAATGGCGTTGTGCATCATTTCGAACTGGACCTGGAGAGAAAAAAAAAGTAATTTGTTTAAATAAGGGGGTCTATCAACTAGTATATGCGTTTACCGGGTCGGGCTGTTAGAATGACACGTGCATACACTTTGGATGAGACTGGTGCCACTTTAATGTTAAACTGCTCGTCCCTCAAACAATGGATAGAAGTTATCTTTGTATGTTTCTGTTTAGACATACGATATTATTTCAAATATATTATTATACTTAGTAGTCATTCATCACGTTAATATCCGCATCAACACCATCATAAAGTACTTAAACTCCTTCAGGAATCCTGCATACAATATATGGGGGTGCCTAATTGACCATGTTCTTTAGTGCACTTGCATTCATGGCGAGGCGCAGACGCCGTTTGCAGGTGACAGGTTCAATTCCAGGCACGGTAACTATAGCTTTCGATTTGTATGTTGTCTAGTGCGTTCTTCTATCTTTCTACCTCTTTCTATGAGTGCCGATCAATACACTTTCTGTTACTCGATTAATTCATAATATTTAACGGCCTCAAAGGTTCCCCCTTTGTTTATTTATAGGAATGACGTATACACACCGGAACCTACCAATCAAATACCTTTCTTAAATGTTTGTGTATTCTAGACAAAGCATTAATATCTACTGTGTTCGTGAATTGTTGTGATTGTTATTCGACATTTACTTCGTTAATGTTATCTAGTGTGTTCTTCTGTATTTCTACTTCTTTCTATAAGTGCCGATCAATACACTTTCTGTTACTCGATTAATTCATAATACAATACAGAACACGCCCCCTCCCCACACGCGTTTTTCCCCCTCATCTCCTCAGCCAGATATAACTTTTTTATTGGGCCTAAATACACCTCCGGTCCCTAAGTTGCCTGAGTTTGCTCCCGAATGTCCTCATCCCACAGGTGAATGCCCTTGGCATTCTACGGGTATTTATTCTCCGGTTCAGTGTGTTCTTTTCAGTGCACTGACAAGACATCCACATGGCTACATTTGGATGCGTGAGTTAAGTGATTTTGTGTATTCGTGTGGTTTTGTTTGATATATGTATGTGCTAATGAAGGCTCTATAGCTGCAACGGTTCACGTTTTTACATGTGTTTGTTATATTGTGAAGCTCGCGGATATACTTTTCGTTCGATTGTATGTCTGTCCTTATCTCACATGGAAGTATGTTTGTCTGCAAACATTTATACTTGACCTACTTCAAAGTCACAGAAGTCGACCTGCTCCAGGGCAAACAGAACGAGGTCGAAGATTTTCGAGTGTCTGCCATCTCTAGAAGTTTCAAATAATCCGGGTTGAACATCTCGCACCGTGAAGGCTTGTTCTGATGGCACATACCCACGTGAAAATGGATTGATGTACACCTGGGTAGGTCAGGATAAAACAGATGGCATTTGGGCAGCTACTAACGATTCCATACACATATAAGTAATGTAAGTAAGTAAAGATCACTTTTCACGCCTTTAGTCGCATCGGGCATATAGGAAGATCATCCATATTTTTAGAGACCAATCAACACTAGGTGGGTAATGTAGTCAGCATTGCGACGGCCGTCTTTACTTTCCCAGGACATACATCCTGGTACCCATTTAAGGCTGGGTCCACCTGCGACGCCCCGTACCGGGATAAACATCTACACAGCCAGCAGTGGGTTTCGAGCAAGGTACATTGGAATTACGAGTCGGACTCGCAACGCCTATGCCACAGATGCTGCCCATACACACATGATTGTTTAAATATAAAGCAGTTCTAAAGACTAGAAATACACATGACTGTATAGATGTAAAGCAATTTCAAAGATTGTCATACATATGATTGTATACGTATAAAGTGACTCTAATTATAGGAATATCCATGATTGTACAGTTATGGAACAATGCAAAGATTGCATATACAAATAATTGTATATTATGGAGTAATTCTAATATTTGAGTATACATACATTGTGCTTCTTTTTCCTCTTCTGCGTTAATCAACTATACATATGACTGTGAAAAAATCAAATTGTTTGAAATACACATAAGTGTATTATTATGGAGCTCTTGCAATAATTAGGTATTCCTGTGGTTGTACAGCTATTGAAGAATCCTAATGACTGGATATGTAGACGATTGTATAATTATCCAGTAATTTTAATAGATAAAACTGGCTGTCACCCAAAAATAACAATAAATGATGGATGGAGAAATTGAAAATGTCACAAACTTTGAATATCTAGGCTCTATAATAAACAACAATGGAGACTGTTCGACAGAAATTAAAAGCCATAGCAATGCAAAGATTGAACAGCCTTAAAAGTCTATGGTTAGGCACCAGCAAGGAGATAACAATTAGAATTTTGAGAGCATGCATCTCCCCTGTGGCTACATACGGATGTGAGTCGTGGACTATCTCTCAGTCCTTAAGACAGAGAATAGGGGCTTTTGAGCTGAAATGCTATAGAAAGAATACCTTGGACAAAGAAGATGAGAAATAATGACAGATCTGAACATAAAGGAAGATTGGCTAATAAACAGCATCCTTTCTCGAAAGCTGAAATATTTTGGTCATATCAAGCGCCACGACGGATTGGAAAAATTATAGCAGAAGGCATGGTACCAGGAAGGAGGGGCAGAGGCTGACCGATACGAAGACGGGCACAGGATATAAGTGACTCCTGAGTGTGAAAGTTCATGAGGCGGGAGAACTGGCAAGAGACCGAGTTTCTTTCAGGCAGACTGTGATGAGAGCGACATTCTGCAAAGGACCTGCTACATGATGATGATAAATTCTGATGATGTGATATAAATATGTGTGTAATATTAGGGAGCAATTTTATTGATTGGGCATGCCTATGAGTGTATTATTATTTAGAAATTCTTGTGATTAGGCAAAGCGCTCCTGTGGTGTAGCGGCTAGACGCTCGCCCGTGAATCGGAAGGTCGTGTGTTCAGGTCCTGACAAAGCCGAACTTTTTTCAAAAATGACCTTGACCCCCAGGTCAACCCAGCTTGTAAAGGGTGCAATGTATAGTGCTGGGAAGTAAACGCGGTCGTCGTTAAGTTGACCACATCACCCGCCGAGTGCTGTTTGGTCTGAAAAAGATAGGTCTAGCCCTATGTGCCCTATATGCATGAAGATGTGCAAAGGGTTCTTTTTTTTTTTCTTTTTTAATTTGGGTGTAATGGCGGTTGTACTAATAAAGGCAGATAGTTATTGTAATTCCAGATACTGTATGCAGTTGTATTCTCATTTCAACCGTTAGATCGTCATTTCAATAGTCTTACTCATTAATTCCAAAATAGTTACAGCATTATTCCCCCACACTTACACCATCATTCCAATTTAATGACACCGTCATTCCATTACATTTACACTGTCATTCCAGTAAATTTACACTGTCACTCCACTATAGTGACACTGTCACTCCACTATATGTCACTACACTATAGTGACACTGTCACTCCACTATAGTGACACTGTCACTCCACTATAGTGTCACTGTCACTCCACTATAGTGACACTGTCACTCCACTATAGTGTCACTGTCACTCCACTATAGTGACACTGTCACTCCACTATAGTGACAATGTCACTCAACTATAGTGACAATGTCATACCATGCACTGCAGAAAGTTACCTCATCTTTCATGAGATCACCTATATTGACCTCATCTTCCTGAATTACCTCATCTCTCCAGACATCATAAAACGTTGTTTGTGTAAAGACACTGGGCAACTCAGTCAGGGCTATGGTCCAGTCCCAGTAAGGGATAGCAATCGGGCTGCCGTGCCTGGCAAGAGCTTGTTCGACCTATAAACAAACCATCAGAATCAGGTCATGACCAAGTCACCTCTAAGCAGAGTATAAAGGCCCTGTTTCGTACCGGCAGGAGTATTGGGCATGTGTTCTTTTATAGACCAATCAGTATTCTATTAGTGATGTGGTCAACATCACGCCGGCCGCCTTTACATCCCAGGCTTGAGCACTTTGCCACGGCGCTCCCAGATCATCCTCATCGCACATCGAACCCGCCAGTCCATATATGCCCAGATCCCCTCTGCTGAGAGTAAAACCCACAACCTCAAGCGGTTAGCAACATCAATTATTCTAATTTGTCTTTGCCTTCCTGGGTGTCTTCCTGGCGAAGTGGTCTAGCCGTTTTGCCTCTCGCTCTAGAGGTCGTGGGTTTGTTTCACGTCGGTGCCGTTCAGTCCAGGAGTGCAATTTTTACGGAAATCCATGGGGACCGTCGCTGGAGCTACTGAGGACGTGATTTGTGCGACTCTCTCGGCAGGCAGCTAGCTGATCTGCGGAGAGAGACCGAGCCATAAGGGGTAAATGTTGGTGCAATGAAGTCGATCCTCCCATGTCTACCTTACCTTACCTTACCTTCTTTAGCTTACTGTATAGATGCATGCCTCAACAGGAAGAAAAGAGTAAAGCTATCTTTTTCACGCCTTTACGCGTATTAGGTATATAGGGCTAGACCTAAATTTGTTTTTCTGATAAAACGGCACTTGATAAAATAATGTATTTTTCTTTGGAAATGGGAAAATGTCAGCGGTAATTGCAGTTGTTGTATGCACGATACGGCACTGAACAGGTAGAACGCATCTAAACATAATTCCTCCAGCGAAGCAAGCATCTATTTGCAGGGTGCACCAAACGGCACGGTAAACATTCTTTGCTTACTGTATATTTCTTTGAAAAGGGGAACACTACTATGACAAACAGAGCAGTAAGTAAGTAAATTGTACCCCACCATGACATTACATAGAGCGATAAACACCTGGTGACACACAGTGTCACCATGTGGATGAGGATCACTCTTGGAGAGGTTCCGGAAACGCGTTTTACCGTTAGGCTATATTTGGAGCCCCTGGCCTCAAGGGGGATGACGAAGATTGACAAAGAGAACAATCAGTGACAGGCAGTTATCTTTCCTTACCTGTAAAGTGAACAGCCGATGCCAGTGAGGAAATGTGGGCATGCCATGCTGGCAACAGGCCACGGTTGGGTGGTCAGGATCTGGACATCGGGCAGGAGCACCATGGAAGGAGACCACATGAGCCCAGCCCTCGTTGGAAGTGTCCTGCTGAAGGTCGTAGAGTGCTGCCTGGAGACTTGTAATGTCCCGTTCACTCAATGTCCCGATGTCATGGCGGACCCGATTAGGTGCTATACTTGTGGAACTGAGCACTTCTATTGAACAAGAGAAAGAAAAACACTTCTCCATGAAGTCCTCTATTACCACGCCGGGTGTTGAGGAAGACATAAAGTTCTTTTTCTTGCCTTTCTTGTCGCTTCGACCATAGACACACCGCGCTGTTGTAGAGTTTCTCTGATGTTCCATCTTGTTCTTGATATACCCTCAAATGGTTTCAATTCAGAAGGTATTCTCTCAAAATGTGCAAACCATTTGATTTGCAGTTTCTTTGTAATGTAGAATTTGTTCTCTTCAGATCTCATTCTTGATTTTTATCTGATCTGGTCACCCCTGGAGCCCTTCTCATACTTCTCATTTCTGTGGTTACTAATTTTATTTTCTGATATGCAGTGAAAGACCACGCGTGGCACTGGTTACATAGGATTGGAATGAATATGTTTTGAATGAGATGTTTCTTTGTGCTGATGCTACTAATGTTGCTATGTTGCTAATGTTACCAATGATGCTAATGTTTCTAACGTTGCTAATGGTGCTAATGATGCTAATGTTGCTAATGTTGCTAATGATGCTAATGTTGCTAATGTTGCTAATGTTGCTAATGATGCTAATGTTGCTAATGTTGCTAATGATGCTAATACTGCTAACGTTGCTAATGATGCTAATGTTGCTAACGTTGCTAATGATGCTAATACTGCTAACGTTGCTAATGATGCTAATGTTGCTAATGTTGCTAATGATGCTAATGTTGCTAATGTTGCTAATGATGCTAATGTTGCTAATGTTGCTAATGATGCTAATGTTGCTAATGGTGCTAATGATGCTAATGCTGCTTATGTTGCTAATGATGCTTATGTTGCTAATGTTGCTAATGATGCTAATACTGCTAACGTTGCTAATGATGCTAATGTTGCTAATGTTGCTAATGATGCTAATACTGCTAACGTTGCTAATGATGCTAATGTTGCTAATGTTGCTAATGATGCTAATACTGCTAACGTTGCTAATGATGCTAATGTTGCTAATGTTGCTAATGATGCTAATGTTGCTAATGTTGCTAATGATGCTAATGTTGCTAATGATGCTAATACTGCTAACGTTGCTAATGATGCTAATGTTGCTAATGGTGCTAATGATGCTAATGTTGCTAATGTTGCTAATGGTGCTAATGGTGCTAATGTTGCTAATGTTGCTAATACTGCTAACGTTGCTAATGTTGCTAAGGATGCTAATGTTGCTAATGGTGCTAATGGTGCTAATGTTGCTAATACTGCTAACGTTGCTAATGATGCTAATGTTGCTAATGGTGCTAATGATGCTAATGTTGCTAATGTTGCTAATGATGCTAATGTTGCTAATGTTGCTAATGATGCTAATACTGCTAACGTTGCTAATGATGCTAATGTTGCTAATGGTGCTAATGATGCTAATGTTGCTAATGTTGCTAATGATGCTAATAATGCTAATGTTGCTAATGTTGCTAATGATGCTAATGATGCTAATGTTGCTAATGATGCTAATACTGCTAACGTTGCTAATGATGCTAATGTTGCTAATGGTGCTAATGATGCTAATGTTGCTAATGTTGCTAATGGTGCTAATGGTGCTAATGTTGCTAATGTTGCTAATACTGCTAACGTTGCTAATGTTGCTAATGATGCTAATGTTGCTAATGGTGCTAATGGTGCTAATGTTGCTAATGTTGCTAATACTGCTAACGTTGCTAATGATGCTAATGTTGCTAATGTTGCTAATGATGCTAATGTTGCTAATGTTGCTAATGATGCTAATGTTGCTAATGTTGCTAATGATGCTAATACTGCTAACGTTGCTAATGATGCTAATGTTGCTAATGGTGCTAATGATGCTAATGTTGCTAATGTTGCTAATGGTGCTAATGGTGCTAATGTTGCTAATGTTGCTAATACTGCTAACGTTGCTAATGTTGCTAATGATGCTAATGTTGCTAATGGTGCTAATGGTGCTAATGTTGCTAATGTTGCTAATACTGCTAACGTTGCTAATGATGCTAATGTTGCTAATGTTGCTAATGATGCTAATGTTGCTAATGGTGCTAATGATGCTAATGTTGCTAATGTTCCTAATGATGCTAATGTTGCTAATGTTGCTAATACTGCTAACGTTGCTAATGATGCTAATGATGCTAATGTTGCTAATGTTGCTAATGATGCTAATGTTGCTAATGTTGCTAATGATGCTAACGTTGCTAATGATGCTAATGATGCTAATGATGCTAATGTTGCTGATGGTGCTAATGATGCTAATGTTGATAATGATGCTAATGTTGCCAATGTTGCTGATAGTGCTAATGTTGCTAATGTTGCTAATAATGCTCATGTTGCTAATGTTGCTAATTGTCCATATCCTGGTGCCCCAGACTGTCTGCAGTTGGTTTCACGTGTTGAACTGTATGCGCACAAACATGCTCATCGGCGCAGCAGTCAAACGCGACATGTTGTTTCCAATACTCTTAATAATAGTGGGAGCATTACTCTTGATTTAATCAAACCCCTCTCAGTGTGTGTTTCTCTCTGTCAGTGTGTTTGTATATCTGGGGGTCTGTTTGCGTGTCTATGTCTATCTGTCTGCCCTGCTCTCTCTCTCTCTCTCTCTCTCTCTCTCTCTCTCTCTCTCTCTCTCTCCACACTTGTGATCGTTTCCACCTGTAGTAGAAGTATACATAATAAGAACAACTGCACCAACACAATTTAAGTTACTGGATTACTTAGAAAATAACATTTTTCTTTGGGTAACGAGTAATTTTCTGTATCTCAATAGCCAGTTTTTATCATGTCCCCATGTGTTTTGGGGGCCGACATTGTAGAGGAAAAAAAAAAAGTCTTACGCTTCCTTAGAAATCGGAGGGGGGCCCTTTGAGAGGCAAAAAAACAAACATTACGGAGTAAAAAAAGAGCCGGCTGTAAAAGATGTGCAGAAAAATTGAGGGACGAATAACCAGAGCTTTTCGCTAAGTAAGCCCGTGAACCGAAGAAGAAAGAAGAAGAAGAAGAAAAAGAAGAAGAAAAGAAGAAAGAAAAGAAGAAGAAGAAAGAAGAAGAAGAAGAAAAAGAAGAAAAGAAGAAGAAAAAGAAGAAGAAGAAGAAAAAAGAAGAAGAAGAAGAAGAAAAAAAGAAAAAAGAAGAAGAAAAGAAGAAGAAGAAAAAGAAGAAATATCATTCAAATTTGGAATATGAGAGCAGAAAACCGGTGGTGGGGAGTGACATTTACCCCCCCCAAAGTTAAATTGAACTCGGCGTGTGGTTTTTTAAAAATTAGGTTCCCCCCG